GGGGGGGGGGGGGAAGGCAACAGAATTCATTTTAAAGGCAGGCTATCTTGACATTGCTCTCACTGCTGTAATGTTTTTTCAATTGCGCCAACTTTCGGTAAAGACAGCCCTTGTACCCCCCTTTTTCCTTCTGCAAGTTTTATGAACTTCATGCTGAGATTTTGTGTGTGAATGCAGCCAGTTGATACAGATATAAGACATGGCATGAGCCCTGCAGATTTTGTGTGTGAATGCAGCTAGTTGATACAGATATAAGACATGGCATGAGCCCTGCAGAGATTTTGTGTGTGAATGCAGCCAGTTGAAACAGATATAAGACATGGCATGAGCCCTGCAGAGATTTTGTGTGTGAATGCAGCTAGTTGATACAGATATAAGACATGGCATGAGCCCTGCAGAGATTTTGTGTGTGAATGCAGCCAGTTGATACAGATATAAGACATGGCATGAGCCCTGCAGAGATTTTGTGTGTGAATGCAACCAGTTGATACAGATATAAAACGGGGCATGACCCCTGCTGATATTTTGTGTGTGAATGCAGCCAGTTGATACAGATATAAGACAGGGGGCCATGTCGGGTCAATTCCCTCGATACCTTGCCTGAAGACGAGAAGTAAACAGGCTGAAGCTTCCATTGACCCACATGTTCACATTAACCTGCTAAAACTATTCCGATAGGAATGCATGTATCTGGGGCATGGTGTTCGATAGATTACAGGTGGAAGTTAGATGTGGAGATGTTGCCTCACTGTCATCAAATCATCATTGTCTTTGTCATTGTAATTTGTCACTGGCAGCATCATCTACATCACCATAATCATCATCGTTATCATTACCATTATCATCATCGATATGAGTTATGAATTATAAAGGTGTTGTGGTCTAGTGAATAAGTCACCCGACTGCAGATCACAAGGTACAGGGTTCAAGTCCTGCCATGGCACTAATGTTCGTTGTCAAGACGTTAATCTACATGTACATCTGCCACTCTCCACCCTGATATGCTTGAGCGCTTGTTACTTTGGCAGTTTTACGCCATGTCTACACCGTATGTCTACACCTGATAAGTGGTTGTCATCATTTTTATCACAAAACCATTCCGTTTGCCAAATCACATGTAATTCATTCTCAAATCTCAACTGAAATCAAATGATATGGAGATCGATTGTAAAAAACGATGGTATTGCACATTTTCTCCACAAGTTACCAACTTCATTAGCATCACACAGTCAGCTACAGGCATTCATCTCTCTCTCTCTATCCTCTTCTCTCTATCTCTCTATCCTACTCTCTCTATTTCTCTCTCTACCCCCTATCTCTCCCTGTGTATTTCACAATTCCTGGTACTATTGAAAAACTCAGGAGCAATTATAATCCATACCATACCGTACGGGTTTAGCTTCTTCAGACTAAGACCTGACCTTACCTCCGAGAGTTCTCCTCTCAATCTCTCCCTTCTACAAATGTATATCTCTCTATCCCCTTCTATCTCTCTTTCTCTCTTCCTTTCCCTATCTCCTTCTCTATCTCTCCATCCCCTTCTCTCTCTCTCTTTCTCTCTCTATCCCCTTCTCTCTCTCTCCATCCATCTCTCTCTCTCTCTCTGTCTCTATCCCCTTCTCTCTCTCTCTCTCTCTCTATCCCCTTCTCTATCTTTCTCTATCTCTCCATCCTCTTCTCTCTCTCTCTCTATCTCTCCATCCCCTTCTCTCTCTCTCTCTCTCTATCCCCTTCTCTATCTTTCTCTCTCTCTCTCTATCCCCTTCTCTATCTTTCCATCCCCATTTTCTCTCTCTCTACCCCCTTCTTTATCTCTCCATCCCCTTTCTCTACTCCTCTCCCTGTGTATTTCACAATTCCTGGTACTACATGTATTTGAAAACACAGGAGCAATTATAATCTATACGGGTTAGCTTCTTCAGACTAAGACCTGACCTTACCTTTGAGAGTTAGACTCCTCTCAATCTCTCCCTTCTATATATCTCTCTATCCCCTTCTCTCTCTCTCTCTCTCTCTCTCTCTCTTCCTCTTCCTCTTTCTCTTTCTCTATCTCTCTCTTTATCCTACTCTGCCTCTCTCTCTTTTTCTATCCCCTTCTCTCTATCTCTCCATCCCTTTCTCTCTCTCTCTCTCTCTACCCCCTCTCCCTGTGTATTTCTCAATTCCTTGTGCTACATGTATTTGAAAACACAGGAGCGATTCTAATCCATACGGGTTTAGCTTCTTCAGACTAAGACCTGACCTTACCTCCGAGAGCTGGAGAGCTCTCCTCTCAATCTCCATGTCTATTTCCCCATTTGTCTCAATCCATTATTGATACGGCCTACTTCTCTCGCTCCTCTGGGGGGTGGGGGGAGGGACGCAGCCAGAAAACCGAGGGTATCGCCGAACGCACAACCCAGAAACGAGATAGCTCGGGCACCACTCAAGAATGCCCAGTATCTCCCCGATCCTGCTTCTTTTCTCCAGATTTCAGAAGCAACCGCTCCGTTCCAAATTCTTGCAATACCTCGACTGCTAGCATACACATTTTTGCAGGTCTCTGGAATTTAACAATGGGCCAGATTTCCCACGATGGGGCCTCTTGTTTATTTCGTTTTCTCTTTTTATTTGGGCTGCCGCACGACGGAGGCATTTGTGGACAGAGACAATAGATATATGAGAAAGAGAACGGCAGAGATGAAATTAAATCTCGTGTTGAGAGATGCTGGTTTTGGAAGTTTCTGAAGAGGAGTAAAAGAACTTTTTGTTCTCTTGGCATTTTGTTTTAGAGTCTTGCTTGAATTACAATCTTTGCATACGGTCATTTTCACGGTAAAGGGTGTAACTTTGAAATTTGGACATTTTTTTCTCTGGTGATCTCATAAAGCTACAGAATTCAAAGATATTTTGGCATATGAGTAACCTACTTGGGTGCTACCTTGGGTAGCATAAACTTCTTCAGGGATTACTTCGTTAAATTTTGGCAGGCACATAAGTACCCTAAATGTGACCCTTTTGATGTACACAAAATACATAGACATTTTTGTAAAGCCCTGCATTTTTTTCAGGAACAGTGAGGATTGTTTTTGTTATGCAGAATGTGAAGTTAGATGTTCAATGTAAAGTGCCAAAGAAGTTTAAACTGTGACGGCTCCTCTATTTTTGAGAACAGAGTGTTGTTATTTGTCGTTTCGGAGACTTCATTTTCCGTTAACAATAGTTAACAAACTTCATGGGAAGAGCTCTGGTTTGAAAAGTGCTTTCTACCATTTCATTTGTTCTTGATATAACACTTGACATCTATACTTCCAACTAATGACAAAATTTGTCTGATCATGTTGCTTGTAAGAATGTTTTAAAAGCTTGACTGAGTCGAGCCATTTTTCCGTTAGCTGAATTGAAGCCTCCGAAACAAACTATTCAGACAGCTTGTACAAATATGAATATAGGAACTTATCCAATCATTATATCAAAATGTAGCATTAGGACCCCTAAATCACTTGTCAATAAATAGCCGAGATATTCCCCACTGTTAAAGAATAACAGACAATACAAACTTTCCGTTAGCACTTGAAGCCTCCGAAACACTTGAAGCCTCCGAAACAGCAAAAAGATTATTTTTCATTTTTTAAATACCTAGACCAATGTGTTCATGTTAAATCTGCATGGCAATCATATGTTAGGATGTGCAGGCTCCCTTGAAGTTGAAAGTAAATAGATATCCATTTAATTTTTTCAAGACTTACTAATAACCAAAAAAACTTGTTTCGGAGGCTTCAAACTGTAGTTAACACCATATTTTTGGCTATTGTGGTTTTATAGATAGGGGTTCGTTTACAGATTTCCTATTTTATGTTTGGTTTTGGTCTAATAAAGTACAGGAATGTGTTAGATGTTATTGGTTTTTTATATTTTTAATGATTTACAAGTAGTCAGTATTTCAGAAAGAAATTTTATACCAGTAATAGGAGTATTCACCTGTTTCAAACCTTGATAATGTAAGAATCGTTCACCAAATAATAAAAAAGTTAATACATATAAATCTTCCAAGCTTTATGAATATTTTAATATATAAAGTATTAAAATGAATCACTATATTTTCCCAAATTATAAGACATCCATAATATTTATCTAATTTGTTTCGGAGGCTTCATTTAGTGTTAACCACATGTATCATGCTCTTTGCCAACCCCTTAGGATCAAATAGCATAGGCCATGCCATCCAAGGACCATTTGTAACAGTAGAAGAGAAATTTGGTGGGCAAAGAACCCTCTAGAAATGTTAGGAAAGCAGTGTGTACAACCCCTTTTAAGACAATGGAATAATAATAATAATATTCGGTTCTTGTGTAGCACATATTGAACGTCTCTATGCGCTTCCAAATTTGGAAATTATTACCCCGGCTTTAGCATGGCTATTCCATTACGGCGCTTAAGCATTTCAAGGAATTAATTCCTGCCAGGTACCCAATTTACCTCACCTGGGTCGAGTGTGGCAAATGTAGATTAATGTCTTGCCAAAGGACATTAGTGCCGCAGCAGGACTCGAACTGCAGACCTTGTCCACGACAACAGACCATGAAGATCATAAAGATATTGACAAGGTTACAGCAACATGTGCTAGCAACATCTGATACTAGATAGCATCTCTTCCAGACAGGCATGAACACTGCAGACAGTTCTCTCATTTCCTTACTGTTATCCACAAGAATATAGAGGTAAGAATTTTGTCCTTAAATTACTTAACTTGTACTTTTTTTTTAATGGGTTATTGTAATGGAACTGATGTGTGAAAGTTTTTAAAGTTTAGATTTGTCACTAAAATTAGTGAGGCCTAGTTACGATCTGTATTGTACATTGTACATGTACCTTTATCATAATCAATGTTTGTGGTTTTAAAGATCGGGTGACATCCAAATATAGTTTGATTCCTGTTGATGTGCAGCCTAGAAAAATGCTCCAAATCTCATTCATCTTGTGACATCATCTGTAAATCATTAGTAAGCTAACAAGAGACAGTGGTATGTATAATAGCTTAACCAGAGCTGATCACCTGTTTACAATAGACCATACAATACCAACATATGAGTTGCTATGTCAGAAGTGGTGTAGCATCACCAGGTAAAGAAAGGTAACATGGAGGTATTTGTGAGCATGTGCTGAGCTGGAGAAAGTTACATAACAATTTCTCTTGTTAGCTCACTAATGATTAACAGATAGATGAATGAAATCTGGAGCATTTATTTAGGGTGGAGCTTAGCAGGTCTGAGAAAATTATTGTAAAATATTTAAAAATCTATGAAATATATTTAAAACAAATTATGAGTTGTATGCAGCCCTGCACATAAACATAAACCAACTTATATTTGGATGTCACCTGACCCCATAAGGTTTGCCTCAGTACCAAATGTTTAAATTAGACTCCTGATATACATGTGTGTACATGTACAGGTCTATGGCTATGCACAATGGTAAACCAGTAACAATGAATGGAATCCTTGTACATATTACAATTTTGAACAGATTAAAACAAGTCTGTCATTAATTAGTACTTAAAGATTTGTGTAATGTACACATTAAGCATCCTTAGTGATGGTGCCCATATAGACTACTGAACTAATTCTTAAACAACACATGGATAAATAATAAAATATTATGTAATGCACATGCAAATAAACATTCAAGATGCATTTCTAAAATAAAAATAAATGATTGTTTTTAGTGTCCAAGCTCAGATATATGTATTAACATTGTTCTGTCCAGTACAAACCGCTAATTTCCTATTTTCTTCTCCAATTACAGGATCAATGTGAGTGATTATGTGGCCATATATTTTGATGCACCTTCATCTAACAGCAGGACTACAAATGGGATGGTTTTCATGGCTCTTGTAAGTATTACTCATGTTAGATCTCGGATTATTAAAAAAAAAATTAACAGGATCAACTTTCTTTATTTGAGAAATACTTAGACAAAAAGATTTTTCTAAAATGTATATGAGCAGGTGTTGTGGTACTGAACAAAGTTAACAGGCTGAATTAAATAAAATAAGGGACTGTGAGATATTTCAAGGAAGTGAAATGAATTCTGAAAGCTGTTTTTCTATGTTTTAATGAAAGTTTGTATTTGCTATATTCTTATTTTGCTACTAGGTAAAAGCAGTGATTGATGACAATGTCAAAGTCAAATTCATACGCCGGAACAGCAATGGTCTGTATGAATTTACAGAGGACTGTGAAGCCCATCAGCCTAAAAGATGTTATACAGAAGATGACTCTACCAACCAGGACCCCAGCCGACATAGCTTACCTTTATAATTTTTAAGAACGAGAACTGGACATGTTGGCAGACAAATTTCTTCGAAATAAGAAGTCGAACACAATTGTGTTCTAGGACAAAAACCTGTAAATACTTACCATGCTATTGGTTTCAAATATATGAATGTCTGTGTAAATGTTATAACACATACCAAACAAGTTTGTGGAAGCCACTGTGCAAAAATGTAATTCTTTACACTGAGAATAAATGATGACAAAGAAGCAAGTGAAGGGTAATGATACATTGCTATGAATTAACATAAATGGTTTCTATGTGAACAATTATTTTAAGTACTTTACTTTCAGTTCAACATTTTATCAAAACTTCAAAAGTAAGTTTAAATTTCGCCTTGTATATTGCCTTTGTAGTTGACGATATAGTGTGTTAACATGTTTGAAGTCTCCGAAACACTACTTTGAACTGATCCTATACATGTATATGTTCCCAGAATGTTTCAACTTTGATATGAGAAAAGTGGTTTCCCTTGAAATTACATACTGGACAATATATTTCAGCACAGATCAGCACAGATTTGAAATCCTCATGGATTCTATTAAATGACTTTGCAATGTTTGCGTACTGAACAAAAAGCTCATTGTATTAAGTAAAGATAATTTGTAACATACATGTACCGTACTGTATATTAACAAGTATTTTTACTCTGTAAACAAATGTTTTAGGTGTTATATTAGTAATTTAACATATCATTAACAGTTTAAGTTGAATTTTTCTTAATATGTTACCTAAGTAATGGACAACATTTTATGTTAACATGATTGAAGCCTCCGAAACAGGCATTATTGTTAACCTGAAGCCTCCGAAACACACACATAAGAAATTTTCAACTTCCTCATTTGAAATGCGATTTCTTTGAAATTTGCATTGTAATTAGCCCTCACTGAATGGTATTTGTAGAATAATTTTTATTTTGCTCCCCTCCCCCTCTTGGAAGATAGGTAAATTTGAAAAATTAAATGTCAAATTCATATTTTGTCTTGAATTTGACAAACGCATCGAAATTTTTTAAAGACCAAATAAGTTTGACCAAAAAAGCTTTATAAGCCTTCAAGTACATTAGTATAGCAAATGAAAAATTGCAATTGAATTATGTTTGGAGAACAAATGTTGTCATTTAAGTTGATAGAATTAAAATGTTGTTTTTGTTCAAATTTATCATAATTGTCACAGTTGTTCATTATTTTTCCAGGTTTCTCATTTAGTTTAAGCTCCAGAACCAAAAAAAATCCATAATTTAGACATTTATTGTAATAATTTTAGTAGAAATGATTATGAAAACATATTTTGAAATTTTGACCCTGTTTGAGAAAAGTTACACCCTTTACTGTGAAAATGACCATATTTATTCTAGTCTCGTCATCAAGCCTGCTTTATGAAGCTGAGAAGACGTGGGTAGTCAAAATATGTTTTCCTACTTTTTTGCAGTAAGGTTCATTATTGTCCGAGTACACATTGTACTTTAGAAAGATGGATGAGTTCATGAGTTCACCCAAACGAATGTTAACATTGAATTGATTTGATATTGATTTCATATTCATGCAAGCTACATGTACCCTCATGCATACAGATGAACATGTATGGGGGTAGCCTGGGGGCAGAACATGTACATTTATGCCGTTTCTCCCAGATAACTCTAGCCTGCTTTCATCCCGACTTGGATGATAAAACAGACAGGGGAATTGAAATTATTTTTTATTTGACCCTGTCATGAGGTGATTGTATTACCAGATTTTAAAATATTTTGAGCAAAGAAAGAAGAGAAGAGAGAGAGAAAGCGAAAGAAAGGGAGAGAGAGAGAAAGAGAAAGAGAGAGAGAAAGAAAGAAAGAAAGAGAAAGAAAGAGAAAGAAAGAGAAAGAGAGAGAAAGAGAAAAAGAGAGAAAGATAAAGAGAAAGAGAAAGTGAAAGAGAGAGAGAGAGAGAGAGAGAGAGACAGAGAAAGAGAAAGAAAGAGGGAGAAAGAAAAAAAGAGAAAGAGAAAGAGAAATAGAAAGATAGAGAGAGAGAGAGTGAGAGAAAGAGAAAGAATGAGAGACAGACAAAAAATAATCCCATGGCAGAACTAATACCAATCTGTGTTATATCTTTTGTATTACTGCAGTTGCTGGGGTTTATGTTTGTTCTATAGGAGAAAGAAAAAGAGTTCTGCAAATTTTTCTGCATAACTTAATAACATGAAACTTTTAGAAATCCTTTTTACCTGGATTATTTTTGGCCCCCACGTGTGGTACAACAATTCACCTGAATCTCAGTATGCGAGACAAACTACAATGTAGACATATACTGTATACATTCACCTGCAAAGTGAAAGGTAGAAAACCTCCAAATAAAACTAAATACCTCTCTGTCTCCCCTTTTTTTACCTTCTTTGAGATGACGGATTGACAGATTGAGGTTGCTATAGTAACATGTAGATGAAGTAACAACTGAACCTAGATTTGTAATATGAACAAATGTTCTTTTGCATTCAAAATTTTCATCTGACTTATAAAACGAAACGTTTTTCTTCTCTCTCTCTCTCCCAGGTTTGTTTTGTGAGATCACAATTTTTTGCATATATATTTGTAATTCTAATGTTTCTTCACATTTTTCTTTCTAGGTCGTAATGAACTCATCGCAAGGTACATCAAACTCAGAACGGGGAAGACGAGAACAAGAAAACAGGTAAGCACCCCTCCCTGCACAATGGAATGGTCCACAGAATGTCATGTGACTGCACAGCACGTGTTACCGGTTTGTCTCTGTCAAGTATCATTAATACATCACTCAAGTCCACAACAACACAACATGCTGCATTAAACAAACAAACATACAACTCCAACAACAAAAAAATTATAAAATGATTTCTCAAGTTTGCGAAGGGAATGTTGTCGCCAGAATTCAGACATTTTGTGATGAAATATTGAGAGAAGCATGAACCTATCACAAAAAGAATGTCTAAAGTAATTGTTAAGAGAGCAACTAAGATTTTATGAAACATATCTTCAACCTGTTGAAGAGGACGATGTTTATATAAGAATTATTTTTCAGTCAATCATCTCTTGAGACATGAGTTATATTCGCTTTAGGCAATCTCGAATGAAATAAAAATAAAATAAATGATGGTATAAAAAATGAAAAAGAAGATGTAAAGAATGCCTTCAACAAAATGCTTGATCCTTAATCATGGTTTAAAGCACCAATTTATGATAGAAACGGCCAAAATGAGTATAATGAAGACATAAAAACTTAAAACGGTAAAAATACAGTTCAATTTCAGATTACATGCACAGTATTATAAGGAGTCCTTTAACAAATTCCCAAATAGGTTATCTTCGAAAATGAAGACTTAAAGACTTAAAAATCAGTGAATATACAGTTCGATTTCAGATTATATGCATAGTAGTATAAGAAGTCCTAGAATAAATTTCCAACGTTATGTACATGTACAGGTGTACATTAATTTTGCAAATCATTTCACATGCCATATCTAAGGGGTTGGGCAACATAAACGCCACACACAAAACTTGAAAAATAACAGTTACTTATCACCATGGTGACGACGTTTGTGGGAACCCGGCCACGTTTGGACAAAAACGACATAACCAAGCGTGGCAAAGCCAATTGATGAAACTCAGTCAGATGTTGAAAGGGATGAGTGTTTACTCTAGGAAGTTATTACAGACGGAAGGCTTCCCTCCGTCCGTGATTGCTCCCAACCAACCTGGCCGATTGATCTGAATCGTATGTTTTTTCCTTCTTTTCACTACCACGGAGACAAAGGCTGTGTGGCAGCCAGGAGTACGGGGCTTGAAATCAGTTTGCAGGCACAAACTCTTTTCAGTCGTAAACTATTTTAAGTTGAAACGCATTACGGAGAGTTTGAGCTTGGGATACTATGCATGGACTGCAGTCCAAAGGCCCTGTATTGTGGGTGTGAGCTGCGCCTGGCATAGCAACTAGTGACTGATGACATTAGGCTTAGCTCAAGACTTTTCAGGAGAAACACAAAAGTGTCAAATTAAAGTCTGAACCTGCAGACTAACAGCGAGGAAGGTGGCCTGAATTAGACTGAAGAGAGAGAGAGAGAGAGAGAGAGAGAGAGAGAGAGAGAGAGAGAGGAGAGATAGAGGGAGAGAGAAGAGGGAGAGAGAGAGATAGAGAGAAAGATATATATAGAGAGAGAAAGAGAGAGACAGAGAGACAGACAGACACAGAGATGAGGGAGGGAGAGAGAGAGAGAGAGAGAGAGAGATACGTTTACTCAAAATAACATAAAGTGAGGATGCCAGTGAAACAATTGGCCTATTTTCGTGCCCTCTCTGTTTCTCTACCATTGTGGGTGGGTGAACCCGTGGAGTTCAATTGAGTTTCAAGGGCATTCTTTGATGAAAAAACTTTGCTGTATCATTAAACAGCTCCAGGGCACCATGCGAATGTGAACAACATGTGAATCTTTCAAATGACAGAAAAATGAATCCTTTTTCTGTAAGGAATAAAGAAAACTAGATGGGTTAAACTTTCCAACTCTTTACACAACATATGTGAAAATGAAAAAAAAAAAAAAATCATCAATTGATAAAGAACTTCACTTAATAGAGGGATGACATTTAAACAATTGAGTTTTGAGGGAAATAAAGCTTGTTATTCATGTATAGAAACCTCTTTTTTTGACAGATTTCTGTTTTTTAATTAAGAAAATAATGAATAGTTTAAACTCAAATTAAACAATTGAAAATAAAAGATGAAGGCCACTTAGAACTACATGAATGGCCTATGTATGTGCTGGTTCTGAAACAATTGTCTAATTGAGAGCTTCAATAAAATGTATTACTTTTGAAACAATTCAAGATAAAATGTGGCTTTAGTCTATCATAAAACAAGTAAAGCCACCCCATTGTGTCAAGAATACTCACAACTACAAAAAGACAATTACTTTGAAATTGCTAATAATTCTTTAGATATTGTGAAGCTATCAATCCAATTGAAAGTTGTCTTTGTCATTTAATTTCAGTCATTGACATTTGCTTTTCAAAATATTCTTCTGAAGTGAGAATTGTCATCACGTTGGAGAGTTCTGATAAACTTGCTTTCGTTTCAATACAATCTTTGAGCGGTAATCATCAGACAGTGTCTATTAGTTGGTTTATTGCTGTTTGGTCTACAGTGGGTTTGTCTACTTCCCAATCGGTCTATTCCCATATGGTCTATACCCAGCCCGTCTACTACACACATGGTCTAATAATCTTTTCGTCTACTTACCATTTTGTATAATTACCATTTAGGCTATTAAATTCCCAGTTTGTCTAATTAATGCCCATTTTTTCTTCTATCCATATGGTCTAATAATCATTGAATCATGAATGATAATAATCATCAAATATTTATTAGAACTGGTTGTAGACCAATTGGCAATTCACCTGTTAGTAAACCCTTCAAATATTCCAAAATGAGGCGAAATTGTTTGTCTTTAGAAAAGGAGGGGGGGGGGGGGGGGGAGGAGAGAGAAAAAACATCAATAGTAAGGTTCACACGCACAGTCCAATATTTAACTAGAAGTTAAGGCCGTGTTTTTGAATGCTTTTTTTATATGATTGTATGTTTGATATAAACTTGCATTTCTAGTCTTTGGACTTTTTGACAAGTCTGGAATAAAACCTCATTTGAATTGAACTGAAATTGGTCATGAATTTGGAAGTTATCATGTAGTTATCAACCACACAAACGCACTCATGGTTACAAATATTCAAATTTATTTGAAGGTACCAAATATGACAGATCTTGAGTAAACACGATAACCACGAGCAGTGGGGGGGTCCTCACGCAAAGTAATGTGCTATGAGAACGCAAATAAATCCTGAGGTTACACCACTTGTAGTTAAAATGAATGCTTTCCCCAGCTTATATTTGACTTTGAATACTTGTTTCGGACTCCTGTGAACCTTTGTCATGGTTTAAAGGGATAGTTGAGTTCTTGTATCAGATCGCAAATGTCTTCAAAGCGCATGGTTATTGCACTTCTTCTTATTTATGACATTTCTGGTACCCTTTTAGGACCTAAAATTGCTATGAAGGTAATTTTAGACCCAAAATGTGTGAAATTTAGCCAATAGGATCATACCAATTCAGCTCTACTTTAAAAAAGAATATGGTGACCGTTAAATAATTAATTAATTAATTAATAATAACAATACATAGGCCGGCTGGTTGTGCATATTAAAACTAACATGAAAAAGCCACCAAAAGCCTACATCTGCATTGGCTGGAATAAAACGTAAAAGGCGCTATTTCATTTTTTCAACGGCTTTTTCAAATTATCTAATACTTGTGGTGGTACACAAATATTAGAAATGGAATATATTTATGGATATTTCAGCCGTCTCTGAACCAATTCAGATCAAACAGGGAATAATTTTCCTGGTATCGCATCGCAATTTGCTATGCATTTTTGCATGACTGCTATACAAAATATCTTTTGTGTAGCAGTTTTCTTCCATAGAAATGTACAGAATTTCATTTGAAATATTTATCCATCGGCTGAAATTGCTAATCAAAAAATTTGAGGAAAATTATTCCCTGTCAAACAAAATTGATTTTGTCATTTGAATTGTATGGACTTTCAAAATTTGACACTCAGTTTTTCATTTTCTCACAAAAAAATATTTTCTGTAGCGCCCTCTGCAACAAAACTCAACTATCCCTTTAAATAGTGGATCATTGTTTATAACTTTGACGTTTCGCAAACTTTAATTTTAAACTACCATGGTGCCATTTGAACATAGCTAATAGCTTTTGCTAGCAGTTATCCGTAATGAATTCATTGTCATCCATAAACTTGATGAGAGCTTGATGAATTTCCATCAGACTGTTTACATTATGTCTAGATGCTTGCTCTGCATAAAATCACTGACAGTTTAAAGCGATTGTTATAGAGCGGAGAGAATGCTAATTATATACGCCATGGAACAATGGTCTATATTTGCCCTGGTCCCATTCAGCATTGTCTCACTTCCCTTTTCTGTTAATGATCCTTTATCTTTCTTTCGTTCTATTATTTGTCTATCACGTTCATATTATGATTATGTGTCCCTCTCCTTGTCCTTTTCTTAACTCTCTATTATAATTCATGTACATGTATATCCCCTCTTTCTCTCCTTGGCCCTTCCACTCTCCTCGTATCTCCCTTTCTCTTTCTTTCTCTCTCCATATGTCTCCTCCCTTCTATTCCACTCCCTTATTCCCCCCTTATTTTCCCCTCTCTTATTTTCCCCTTTCCTTTTTCCCCCTCCCTTTTTCCCCTCTCTTTTTCCCCCTTCCCTTTTCCCCCTCCTTTTTCCCTTCCTTTTTCCCCCTCCCTTTTTCCCCTCTCTTTTTCCCCCCTCTTTTTCCCCCTCTCTTTTCCCCCCTCTCTTTTTCCCCCTTCCCTTTTCCCCTTCCTTTTTCCCCTTCCCCTCACTTCTCTCCCATTACCCTATTTATCTTTTTCTTTTTAAAGGTTTCCCAACATCTCTAGATATTTTGAACACCTTTTCCATTTAATATTCCTTTTTCATTTTTACTGTAATCTGTATGGAGCCAGGGCGTACCTCATACGCTTTAACACTGGCTCAAAAAGTCGTTGAATTACTTTTTTTCTTGATTTTCCCCTCTATGTAAATTTACATGAATCTTACTCTCGATCTGTTCCTTTTTTCCCCTATTTTCACCATTTCTATCTCCATCTTCTTTCAAGCTCAGCCCAACGTATAACAAATCATATTTTGGGCAAAAATCAGATTTTACTGCATACATTTCAATCAAATCATAACATTTTCAATGGGATTACAAATACATGCAATTATCAGAAAATGGCGGTTAAGGTTCTAATTTTGAATCCTTTACGGTACATTAATGATTCATCAAAATGCCAGAAAACTGGCAGTTGTGGAAGACCATTCACATTTTCCCTCCTTTTACACCGTTTTTCTTTTACCCCATATTTTTTAATTCAATATCTGTCTGGCGACCTAGATATTACAAACGGTCGAGATGATTTACCCTCGTTTCCATGGCGATGTCATGTTCATGTGCAACTAGGGTTGCTCACAAGTGAATATCTGCCTTTCTACATTGGCACGTTTTGTATTTTCTCTTTCTTGCCTTTTCTGATAGTGAGGGGGTCTGCCATTTTCACACTTATCCGTCACCGTGGTAACGTGAAGCTGAAATGACCAGCATCTCAGGTCCATTTTTGCAAATTCCAGCCTAAAAAGAGAGCCAAGATGCTACTAAAAAGACACAAAAAACATTAATAAATAAAGTAAAATTATGAATGCCTTCCTGATACATGGCCAGATTATGTTATTGTATTTCGAAAAGCTACTATTGAAGTCTGGTTTATGAAGATAGATGATAGAATTGACAGCTTCCGACTGATAAACACTGATTGGCAAACTGACCTCTTCAAATATATACATATGATATCTGCTAACTAGATTTACAGGTTCAGGAACTTCCAATGAAACTGATATTGATTGTCTTAGTGCTCCAAGTAAATGATGCTAGATCCATTTACCATAGGCAGATAATGTGGAGCAGTAGCGCATGGTTTCAGCGAATGTGATTTCCAGCAATTTTGAAGAAAAAAATTACTCAAAATCAAGGAGAAATGAGAGAATTTTGATTTCATGAAATGCAAGGACCCATGATACAGAAGTTAGTAAGAAATAGATGGATATAAATGGGAGCTGTTCATTAAAGCTTTTAGTTTAAATGGACGTATGTACATGTACATGTCAACCGCATGCATACATGTATCCATTAGCTTTCAAAAAGAAGGATTAGACTCGTAGAAATCATTACGTTTGATACGCAAGAAATTCTGTCAATTTGCCCAAATCTCCACCGTGCCCGTCTAATTGGATGGCTCGCACAGAGCCTTTAATAATACACACTCTTCAGTTTCCATGGCAACGCCTTGCCCAGGTGACCATTATCAATGCGTTACTCCAGCTCTCTCTTGCTGTCAGCTAATACGCCAGGCGAGATGTTTGCCGAAGACGATGGCGATGCGGGGTGCGGTCCGGCCGCTAAATGGGTCATTTTGGGTTTGATAGATGGAGCTGGAGTGGGGTGATGATTGGATAATGAAGGCTGCAAATGGTCAAATAGCCGTCCATTAATAACTCTGAATGGCATCTCAAAATGCTTGACAAACAGATGTAATGTTAACTCACCGAGGACTAAAATCCCTCTTTGCCATCAGCTTAGTAAATGCAGGAACAGCCAAGCTCTCCCATCAGTAGACAATAATGAAAAAAGAAGCTAGGATATTCTAATTATGCATACATGCCTGTTAAATGATGTACAGTTACAAAAACAAATAAATCATTCTTTCCCTGACTAATTTTTAAGTATGTGAAAAATAGATTTCTCCCGGTTTATGTTTCTTGAGAATGTGATATGGCAAAGCTTGCATCTAAAAGTGTTCAACATTGGCCGTAATGCAACCAATCCACCTTACATTTTGGAGTTACACAAAACACTAAAAACATCAAATTTACAAGTGGTAATGTGGTATGAATAGTTGTTGTTAACTGAACATACCAGTATTTAAACATAGGGCAGATAAACAAACTTTCACTGAATCACACTAGCACTGTAACTTACACAGAATCCCACCAACACCGAAAATTAAAATTAAACTGAATTACACTTACTCATAAATTTTCACTGAATTGCGCTGACACTGAAACTTACACCGGATGACGCCAGCACTGAAACTTACTCTAAATAACACACTACAATTTACACTGAATCACATCCACACTTGTTGGTATCTGGTATTTCAATGAGACATCAAATTTTATATTTCATTATGTTCGTTTGAATGATTTGTTTTCGTTTTCAGTTGCCATGTTTTTGCACGTTTTTATAATATGCAAGTGATTTTAGTTTGATATTATTTTGTGCATTCACTTTACAAGGGATGAATCACCAAACACCTTCTCCTCCTGCCCCCCCCCCCCAAAAAAAAAAAAATTGTTAGAAGGTATAAAACCACCCCATGTAAACTATAAGGGACATTGAAGTGTTAAGCTATTACAGGGCAAGGGGAAAATATGAATGAAATAAGAAATAGTTAAAAGAAGATTGAAAATGCATCTCAAATAATCTAACAAAGCCTATGATTGCAAAACTAAATGCACTTCCACTGTCCACAATATTAAGCATGTATGGAAGTTCAAACTCCAAATTTAATCTCCTTACTGCTCAACAAATTTTCCTATAATCCTTTCAAATCATTAAATATTTGGACCCTTCATATACTTTTGAATTGAATTTGATACCCCATATGAATTTTGCATACTATATATCAGGTTTTTTCTTGATTTACAGATTATTAGTAATTCCTTACAAAGACAAAAATGGTGATAAGTTCCTTGTGAGATATTGTTGTTAAATATTATTTGTTTTCAGTTACTTTTTGATCATCTTTATGATTTTGATATGCTTTCTCTCACATTTTATCGATGTTTCTGTCACTTTTTGGTTTTGTCAGCAGACTTTGCATGTGCTTGGTTTTTAGTCATGGATGTTATTTTCTTTGTAACATTTTAAAATAATTTTTGCACTTGACACCGTCATCACAGCAAGCATTCTTATCCTCGCGGTATAAACCACTGGCAACATGAGGAAGTTTGTTTGGAGTTTTGCACATTTGAGTTCCATAGATCACTGTTTTCTTTATAGCTTCTTGTGCCTCACCCATTTGATTCATTTTTAGTTTATTTTTTAGTTTGTTTTAGCTTTGTTTTGTTTAATAGTTGTAGCACGTTTGCCTGATGTTTAGTTAATTTATTATTGTTTTGTGGCATGTGGTATTTGATGTACTTTTGTTTCCTTTTTTTCATTTATTGTTTCTTTTTCTTAAAGTTGTTAACACAACAGCACTGTAGTTCAATGTTTTAAGTATGTGTCCAGGTAAAAAGAAAATAATTTTAGAATAAATTATTGATATTAATACAGTTCATAATAGTATGTAAAAGTTAAAAGTTAAGCCTATGATAGTTGTTATGTTTTATTAGTGCATAAAAATAAACTTTTCCAGAAGTACCTGGTGAAATTTATTTTCTTCATGATAGAACTTGAACTAAGACAAGTGAAAATCATAAATTTTCTGTTTCTTATATGATTTAATTCCAGGGGGTAAGTCTATTTACCCTTCTTAGAATAAGTATTTGCCTTGATCAAGGTAGGCATAATTTTGGTGGGCTTTACACACAATGATATTTTATAATTATAATGTACTTACCTCACCCCAAAATTTGATTTAAAGGTACTATGTCCCATTTGCAGGCCAAACAAATTAAAAGGTTAAATTCTAATGGCATTTTCCCTAAAAAAAGGAAATGGCTTGAAAATGTCTTTTTTTGGGGGAAAATAACAAGCCCAGTACTGTAAAGAGAGATGGAGATATTGATTAAGGATATTGCATGGAATTTGACATATTAATAATCTGAACTGGAAGTGGACTTGTTGATTCAGATGGCAAAAATGAATAAATAATGAACATGGGGGAGTTCATCATTCACACTCCATCCGGACAAAGGGCCATAGCAATATCTTAATGCACTTTGGTCTGCTAAAGTGCATGAAATATATCCCTACAATTCTTTTGAGTGATCAAAATATACATAATTGATGCGGCAGACAGATATGTCCTAATTCTTCAGATATATGTTGAATTGATGGGTTCATTATTTGATGAGAAATTTGCTTCATTACCAATGCCGTCGTGCTACAGTACACTGCTGTGAAAAGACGCTTCAATTTTTCTCTTTTTTATGTAGGCGAGGGGGGGGGGGGGGGAGGCAGGGGGATTGTAATGCACACATGAATTATGATGCATTTCTCTCAAATAAAAAAAAAATGAGGGAGGTGGGGGAGGAGGGGGGGGGGGGGGTCTAGTTCCCTCCAAAGTCTGAAGAGCCAAAGAGAAGAGGGGGGGGGGGGGATCCAGAACTTTTAGCCCCCTTGGAACTTTTTACATCAATCATACATGATGCATCTAACATCCAAGTTGCAAACATCCATACATGTATTGTATGCTCTAGTAAAATCTATTTAACCAGAAAAATATGCTATAATCGAGGCTTGCTTTTTCATTTTTTAAAGGAATTTAGTCAATTCATGATATTTTCATATTGAGAGCGTCCTGTAATACGATGATAAAGGTATTGTAACATTTGAACTACCGTACTAGGAATTTACTACAATTTGGCTTATATTGTAACAATCTTTTTTGGTGAAAATGTTAGAGTTCAACGTGTAGGAAGAGAAGATAAGTATTCAACATTATTAAAATTAATATTGATATTGAGAATAAGATTTTGTTTTGTACCTTAGTATGATTGACCCGAATAATTTTAAAGTCAAGATTCCTTTAAAAAAAAAAAATCTGTGATCTCAATGTGTGCAAGACTCCAAACGTGCTGTCCTCATTGCCTCCCATTTCACACAGGTGTCAAGTCATATTCAGGTGTTAGCAAGAAGAAAAGCAAGGGAACTCCAAGCACTATGTAAGGTACGCTATCAACACCAAAAAGTTTGTTCCCATTGCCAAGATATCGGCGTTCCGCACGCACCACCCTAAGCAGCGTGTGTACAACCTCTCTTTGTCAATTTTGTGAACAATAATAATAATGATGTGACATTTGTATAGCACTTAATACTATGTTTCTAAGTGCTTTACATTTTAATTATTATGACCCGGTCATTGGACTCAATTGCTAATGCGCACAAGAAGAAAGGATGGTGTTGTATGCTTTAGAGCCAGAAAGATGTTAACCATAGATGTGAAATATTTGGAGTTAATATCCTTCTGGCTCTCAGCAGACTTTTGCCAGGTGAAAACAAAATTGGTCGACAGTGTATCTTCAGTGGCAGAAGGATTTAAGTTCTTCATGTTGTAAACCAAGACATTTTTAATACAGTGGGGAGAAAAGAGTTATAGATTCTGTCTTGTAAAACATGGAACTCCTCTTCTTAATTTCAGCTGTTGCACTGCTATTCGCAGATGGTCTGAGAAATACCATGTACCGGTATTGCCAATCTGATAATCTTTACCAAAAATTCTGCCATTTTATGAACCAAAAATCTACCTATTGAATTTATGGGTTTTTCTCTTTTATGCGCTGAACTATTGAAATGCCACATTTCTAGTGTTTTGTGGTTAAAATAGGACTATGTTCACTCAAACAGGAGAGGTTGTACGCCGGTGTCAAGGGTCGTGTGTTGTCGGGATATCTGGCAGTGTGGCACCAAAGGATCCCTGTGTTGTGCAGGAGATAGGGATGTGTATTATAGAACAGAGCTGTCTCGATTAGTCAGGAGAAATGCATTGCTTTGTACATGTATGATCTGTACCTTGACAGAGATGGCATTTTTAAAGGGTTTTGATCGATTTCAGACAGTCTCCAGGCTTCATATTGTCTGTTGCTCCAAAAGATTTTGTCATTTTTATAGGTCTACTCTGTATTCAGTGAAACCAATTTGTTTCCCTGCTTTTAAAAGGAAACCTCCAAGTCACTTCATCTAATGCTCACTTTAATGAAACGGTAGCTGCATTCTTGACAATTTAAATGGTTGACTTTTTAAGTTAACATTCCTGTCAAAACTGATAAACACTAATAAAGAGTGCATCAAAAAGAAATAAATTGTGTTTCTCTCTGTTTTGGGGCAATAAATGGTGATAGTGAAAACAAAAAATAGTAACAAGTGAGCATTTCTCAAAAATAAGTGATGCTTTTAGATACATTGACATCGATGAAAAAAATCGCCAGTGCTAAATACGTAAAACAGTTCTGTTCGCACATGCCCATCCCAACCTCTGCAAGACGCAATCGGGTTGATCCTCGCATCGCTCGCAACAACGTTTTGTTTTCTTTCTTTCTTTCCACCTCTTGTTTGTGTGTTGCGAGTTAGGTTTCGAGTCATATACAGGTTCTTGCCAAGAGAACTGCTCGAGAAATCACGAAGACCTTCAAGGTAGGTACCCAGGTAAAAAACACAAAACCATTCATTTGTTCAGGTGGTGGGCTTACTGTTAAAAAAGTAACGTTTTCTTCAATGTTTGTTCAACATTTTTAGCGTTTTTACACAATTTCTCTTTGGTAATGCAACACATGCTCCGGCGATATTTGGTCTGCTTCATTTCATCAAAGATAGGGGCTAGAGGTTAGGGTTATGATTGAGCTTTATAATAATGATAATAATAGCGATATAGTAATAAGCTACATGAAAGGGGGTGTAGCATGGCAAATACTGGTTAACGCCATCTACGACTTATTTTGGACGTATATGAATGGACTTAATTAACGGTCAGCGCACTAGCATTCGCGAAACAGACGGAAGTTCCCTCGCGCTTCGATTTGCGTATGTTGCACGCACATGATTACCCGATTGGCCCGAGTCAGGTCACGGGAAGACACGTAATCTAGTCATGCGACACCCCCTTTAATATTGTGCACATATCCATCCATCCCAGGGGATGTTAAAGGTACCGGTGGTCTGCAAAAATACTACCGGTATTGCAGTGGGTATTCTGAAAGCTCTCAATTAACGCTCAATTAGCAAATCGTATCCTGGAAGGTCTGACGTGCGTACGCCTTTACAGTTGGCAGGAGGTGCATTGCGTTTATATGCACGCATTTGGTGTGCGCTCAGAAATTACTTGAGGAGTTTAAAAGAGTTTTATGATCCAGCATTTGCTCCTGTGACAATTGCTTCAGGCTTTATTTTGTCAGAGATATAAAGTTAGGGTTAGGGTTGCAGTTAGGTTTAACTTTTTATGTTTAGGTTTTAGTGTAGGGTTAGGGTTGCAGTTAGGTTTTGCTTTTTATGTTTAGGTTTTAGTGTAGGGTTAGGGTTGCAGTTAGTTTTAACTTTTTATGTTAGATTTTAATTTAGGGTTAGGGTTGCAGTTAGGTTTTGCTTTTTATGTTTAGGTTTTAGTTTAGGGTTAGGGTTGCAGTTAGGTTTAACTTTTTATGTTAGATTTTAATTTAGGGTTAGGGTTGCAGTTAGGTTTTGCTTTTTATGTTTAGGTTTTAGTGTAGGGTTAGGGTTGCAGTTAGTTTTAACTTTTTGGTTAGGTTTTAGGTTAGGGTTGCAGTTAGGTTTAAGGTTTGGGTCAGGGTTGCAGTTAGGTTTTAGGTTAGGTTAGGGTTGCAGTTAGGTTTTAAGTTGGGTTAGGGTCGCAGTTAGGTTTATCTTTTTATGTAAGGTTTTTGTTTAGGGTTAGGGTTGCAGTTAGGTTTAACTTTGTAGGTTAGGGTTTAGTTTAGGGTTAGGGTTGCAGTTAGGTTTAACTTTTTAGGTTAGGGTTGCAGTTAGGTTTCGCTTTTTATGTTAGGCTTTAGTTAAGGGTTAGGGTTGCAGTTAGGTTTAACTGTTCAGGTTAGGTTTTAGGTTAGGGTCAGGGTTGCAGTTAGATTTTAGGTAAGGTTAGGTTAGGTTAGGGTTGCAGTTAGGTTTAAGGTTAGGGTGTGGGTTGCAGGTAGGTTTTAGGTTAGGGTAAAGGTTGCAGTTAGATTTTAGATAGATGATGATTGATTATTGTTTTACCTGACTGGTAAGAAAGCATGTATATGCTTGTAAGTATGGTAATCTACCAGGGGACTGATGGCTTAGAAGTCCTCTCTGAGGGACTTGATAATGAGGATTAATGCCTTACCATAGGGCAGGAGCGCATTGACCTGGTTTCAAGTTCAGGACCACTGCTCTATTGAGCCATCGCGCCTCCTTAAGGTTGGGGTTAGGTTAAGAGTTGCAGTTGTGTTTAAGGTTAGGCTTAGCAGTTAGGTTTTAGGTTAAGAGTTGGAGTTATGTTAAAGGTTAGGTTTAGGGTTAGGCTTTGCAGTTCAGATTTAGGTTTATAGTTGCAGTAAGGTTTAAGGTTAGTGTTAGGTTTAGGGTTGCTGTTAGGTTTTAGGTTAGGGTTAGAGTTAGGGTAGGGTTAGAGTTAGGGTGAAGGTAGGGTTAGGTTTAGGGTTGCAGTTAGGTTTTAGGTTTGGGTTAGGGTTGAAGAAAGGTTTTATGTAAAGAGAAACAGTTAGGTTTTGGTTAAGGTTAGGGTCGCAGGTAGGTTTGAGTATGGTTTAGGGTTAGGCTTGCAGTTGGGTTTAAGGTTAGGATAAAGTGTGTGGTTGCAGCTATGTTTAAGGTTAGGGGTAGGTTAAAGGTTGCAAGGTTAAAGGTTGCAGTTACGTTCTTTCAAGCAGACTTTTGTAAAATTCAACCACTTCTATATTTATTCAAAAGTGGTGGAAATTATTTGGTTAGTCCTTACTTGTTTAAGATACACTTTTGACTGGCCTGTGCCCAGAAACTGCAACTGTAACTAAAAAAAAATAATCAGAAGTCACTATTACTTGTAAGTCAAAATTTATTGAAGGAGAAATGATTAACTCGGGGGAGATACATATAATAATGACTTTTTATCATACACAGGCATGTGGCCCTGTTCCATAAAACTGATTATCAATAAAAAGTTACACTAACTGTTTCAAGCTACTGAAATCGTGGCATTTGATCGGCTGAGAGCAAATTTGTCATAGGAATATAGCATTTGTTGTTGATAACAAGTTTTATGAATCAGAGCCAGACCTGTCCGCCATTCTTTTCCTTTTCCTTTTTAAATATTCTTTTTAACAAATGTATTTTTGTTGGTCCTGTTGTTCCTTCGTCCATTACAGCAGGATCAAGCGACAAAAGACAAGGCCTTACAGAGCATGGCAGCGATGTCATCAGCGCAGATCGTCTCGGCCACTGCCTTACAGAACAAAGCTGCTGCCATGGGGCTTGGGGGTTTAGGGTTACCGGGTGCAGCCCCTCTCAGACCGCCCTACCCAGGAACACCGGTAAGTATTTGAGCCACGCCCCTTTTCTGATCCACACCCCTTTTCTGGACTTTTCATAGCGAATGGATGCCCATAGTATACCGGTATCTTAACGTGAAGGCGATTCTGCTGTATATATGAGTAGTATTAATTTAGACGGTTTAGGGTAACCGGGGGCAACCCCTCTCGGATCATTCTATCCAGGAACACCGCTATGTCTTTTAACCACACCCTTAATACATGTATCTTGTCCATTATTAGGGAGATTGTGCACATAATGTATAATAATAATAATAATTTTTAATTTTGTATCAAGAAAGAGGCTGGGGGGGGGGGGGGGCTCTCCTTTACATAATAATAATAATATCACCATTGTAGGATAGATTATGGTTACCTTTATAAGGAATGGCCCCTCTCGGACCATCCCAACTAGGAACAGGGGGATGTATTTGAGCCACACTCTATTAGTTGGGAGATGACGCACTTAGGGTGCGTTCAATCGAATTTTCGAAGCTAGAATCACAAACATGAATCACAATTCAAAACGCCGTTACAAAAAACAAGGTCATTGCGGTTAGCGTTCAAGCGATTTTTCATCAACACTGATTCTAGCTCATTTCGAGCCCAGCCACTGTGCATCACCCTCGCAGTTTGACCCAGGAAGTATAGGTCAACTTCGGCGCGCGCTTTTTGGAATTGTTTACGGCCGACTGTCGACTGCTGTTTTGAGCATAGATCGCAATAATAAAACAAAGAATGAGAAGGTGATGGAAGGAAGAAACAAAAAATAATATAAGGAAAGACAAAAAGAGAAAGTGATAGAGTTATTAAAACAAAGAATAACGCAAGAGAAGGTGATATAAGGAAGAAACAAAGAATAACATAAGGAAAGGCAGAAAGAGAAAGTGATAGAATGCTTAAAACAAAGAATTACATAAGAAAAGGTGATAGAAGTAAAAAACAAAGAATAACATAAGAATAGAAGGAAGAAACAAAGAATAACAAAAGAGAAAGTGATAGAATAATTATAAAAACAAAGAATAACATAAGGAAAGACAGAAAGAGAAAGTGATAGAATGATTGAAACAAAGAATAACATAAGAGAAAGTGATAGAATTATAAAAACAAAGAATAACATAAGAGAAGGTGATAGAAGGAAAAACAAAGAATAACATAAGAATAAAAGGAAGAAACAAAGAATATCATAAGGAAAGACAGAAAGAGAAAGTGATAGAATGATTAAAACAAAGAAGAACATAAGAACATAAGAGAATGTGAGTGAAGGGAAAAAACAAAGATTAACATAAGAATAGAAGGAAGAAACAAAGAATAACAAAATAGAAAGTGATACAATTATAAAAACAAAGAATAACATAAGAGAAGGTGATGGAAGGAAAAACAAAGAATAACATAAGGAAAGACAGAAAGAGAAAGTGATAGAATGATTAAAACAAAGAAGAACATTAGAGAATTGAGTGAAGGGAAAAAACAAAGATTAACATAAGAATAGAAAGAAGAAACAGAGAATAACAGAAGAGAAAGTGATAGAATTATAAAAACAAAGAATAACATAAGAAAAGCTGATAGAAGGAAAAGAACAAAGATTAACATAAGAATAGAAGGAAGAAACAAAGAATAACAAAAGAGAAAGTGATAGAATTATAAAAATAAAGAATAACATAAGAGAAGGTGAGAGAAGGAAAAAAACAAAGAATAACATAAGAATAGAAGGAAGAAACAAAGAATAACATAAGGAAAGACAGAAAGAGAAAAAGAGGAAAACAAGGTATAACATAACGGAACAGGCCACGATAAAGAGCATGGTATAGTAAACGCAAATTGCATGAAAGCAGGCGTGCGGTTTTTGTCCAAACCGGAACAGGCTCCGTCATACAATCATCATTGAAAACTCCGTCCGTTCAATCAAATTTTAGCGACCGTGATTCTGCAGAATCATGATACAAAACGCATCTTTTTCAGCGTTTCATGTTTGTGTTTTCAAACACGTTTATTTTTACGACCGACGAAAAAATCGCTTGAAGGCATTGCGTTTTAAACTAAATGTCTTTGTAAACCGTGATTCTAGGGTGAAAAAGTGTCGATTAAACGCACCCTTAGTGTATCCTATGATAAAGGAGTTCTCTCTTTATATTTGAGTATCATAGGATGACTTGGGGTTACCTGGGGCAGCTCCTTAGACCACCTTACCTAAGAACACCAGGGGGCCGTTTCACAAAGCCTTTTCTCAATGACAAATAACAAAAATCAGTGACAAATCTGCTGATAACCAATCAGACGCAAGGATTTTGGTAGCTTATAACACAAATGTCATTTGTCACTGATGACAAGATTTGTGAAACGCCCCCTGTTTTAAAGCCCTGCCCACTATCTCCCATCTTCAACTAGGCGGAGGGTGGTGGATCCTACGTAGAGGAGTTTTTCTGTACATTTAGGTGTCTTAAGGAGTCGAGATGTTACCCCAGATAGTCGGCTTCAGCCCACCTTATCCCTGTGAGACCACCACACCAGGGGGGTTTCACAAAGAAACTAAGTCAAACTTAACTCTAAGTTGGACTTAAAAATTATGGAAAGTCATTTGTAGCCTTAGAATAAAACATTTAAAAGTGAGAATTGAAGTATTTTTGACTTTTTATAAATTTCTCATCAAGAACATGAAATCTCCTTGATAATAGAAAACATGAATGATTTGAATCAACATTTTATGCCTTTTAAAATAACTTTTACAAAATATTTTCATAGATACTATTGCTAACGGCTTTCCATAGTTGTTAAGTTCACCTTAGAGATCAACTTCGGATCTTTGTGAAACACCCTAGTATGTGTAAACGTCTTTCGACAATTGACTTATGATTAATTCATTACACTAGATAAAGCCTATCTGCACTATTTGGCCAGGAGGGATTAGACCTCCCTGCATGGTCACTTGCCGGTGGTTATTTCACCAAATCAGCTCTCAATTAACCTAAGCAAAAGGGGATCATGGGGGACCAACGGGTACCGCTTAGGCATTGCTGGCTATATAGAGGGCCCAAGTAGATACAAGTAGTGCAGTCCCGCTTTAACTCACTTCTAGTACACTGGAGGTGTTTTGGTCTAGTGGATATGTCACCGGACCTTTGATCAAATGGTTAGGGGTTCAAGTCCCACCACAACTCTAATGTCCTTTGGCAAGACATTATCTACATTTTCCACACCACCGAGTTGAGGTAAATGGGTACGGGTAGTTGGCAGGAAAAGACCGTTTTCGTAATGTCACCAAATCTTATGCATACATCTTTGTGAAGTGCCTCGATACAAATCCAAAGCCATGCTAAAGCCGGGGTAATAATTGTCGATTTCTGAATAGTCATAGTCAAGAGCACTATACAAGAGCCCACTATCATTATTATTATTACTATTATTATTATTACATGTACTCCAGTACTTCAGTCGCCCCTGACAAATGTGAGCATCTCTTACCCCAATTATACCTTGTTTTATTCAGACTCATGATGTTGACCATGATTAGAATTACAATAGTTTTTGTTACTCTATTCTCTCTCTCTCTCTCTCTCTCTCTCTTTTGGTAGCAGGTAACCATACACTGTATAATGTGAGCACTTCTTACCCCAAATATACCTTCTTCTATTCAGACATTTTAACTATCTCATGATATTGTCCATGATTGGAATTATAGTAGCTATCTGTTTCTCTGTTCTCACTTTCTCTCTCTTTTGGTGGTAGGATATCATGCACTGCATAAAAGCACATCATCCTTGCATTTTTTTTTGTTTATGGAGGGGAAAAACCCAGGCAAACTTGATGAAATGAATATTACTACCTGGAGATGCGATCCCTTTGGATTACATACTCATGAATGTTTCATGATCTTCCAGGCTCTATATTGTGTCAAATTAAACCTGGGATTTCTCATTCTTCTCTATCCTCTTGTCTTGTTCCAGATAAAAGCAAATCGTCTGCATCAATTAAAATCCCTTTGCTGCCTTCTTACTTTCCCTCTAAGTCTTTCCTCGTCTGACAACTGTCTATGTCTTCGTCATCGACTATCGTTTTCCCCCTCGCTTTTCCCCCCTTTTCGAGGCGATATAAGATAGGATGGAATTCCTTTGCGAATTTTATGTCCGGCCCAGTTGAAGTTTTAGTGTCGTGAGGTGATGAAACGGGGAGAATAAAACTGTTGCCTGCATCCCATCACCCAAACTGCAAATGTTTAAATAGTCGAAGGCTAAGCAATAAAGAACGTTAGATGAAACCTATAGGACATCGCATATTAATTAAATGATATTAATACTCGCTTCAGTGTATTTTACAGTCTCATGTGTTGCTTTTAAACCAGATTGGAATATACAGAATCTGTTTTTATTCCTTCAGTGTTATTTAAGATATTCTCTGGCATGCTAGGGCCATTAAAAAAAATATACATGTTTAGCGTCCCTGCCCGCTTCCTTTTGGGGGGCCACCTCCTTTTTTAAATTTAATTTTTTTTTAAATTTTTTAATTATTTATTTATTTTTTGAATTTTTTTTTTTTTTTTTTTTTTTTGAAGAAAAAAAACATGAAAAACACTGCTAAAATGGATCTATTTCTGATTTAAAAAAAAAAAAAAAAAATTGTTGGCGGCCATCTTGAAAAATAGCCCGACTGTCAGGGAAAATTTACCGAGCTTCCATTTTGAGCGGCCATTTTGAAAGAAAAGAAAAAAAGGGCCTCCTCCTTCCTATTTTTCGAAAAAACAGGACGCTAAGCATGTTTTTTTTAAAATTTGGCCTAAGTTGTCATTTGCATGAATATTAACCGGTTGAATACTGAATTCTCTCTGTAAAGGGCTTAAAGGGCAATCCATATACCCTTGTAATAAGTTCATTTTGTATGAAAGCAGAAAAATTAGATGGTGTAAGTATGAAATAAATCAGACCAATAATAAGAAAGTTATGAATGTTTGAACGTTTGAAATGTGAGATCACTAAGTCTATGCGAATCTCAAATTAGTAGTTTGGTCAGTGGAGTATGACGTAGTCGCTGATAACTTTTTATTTTCCTGTACAAAAATATTAATTTATGATTTTCTAGTAAGTGCCTTCTCCCTTGGGGCACTACTCAAAATATATTATGGATCGAAATTGTTATAAACCCCCTCTCCAAGTCATACATTTTGTCAAAAATTTGCCATAATGACCAAAACAGTCATTTTATCTCGAACAAACCCCTACCAAAATGTTTGATCAAATCCCTGTTTCACCAATGGTATATAACAAAAGTCACGGCTTATATTTTTGTCGACTTTTCCCCATAATGCATCATGTGCAATTGACTAAACACCGGTGTGGCTGAATGGTGCTGTTGATTGTGAATCGACCTTATTTTTAAATATTATTTTTCTTTTCAGTTTTTGAGGAGATGGGAGCTAGAGGGACAAAATCAGTTAGAATTAAAGGTACTGATGATGAATGATTTAGCATGACATTATGATGATGAATAATTAATTTAAGCATTTCAATTCTGCTTCCTTGGAATCATGTTGCATCTTAAAGTTTGGTTACACTTATTTCTGTGAAAGACAAAGTTGAGTACTGGTCATGCAGTTACCGCACATGGTGATGGGAATTATTGGGGAAAATCTGATGATGTTGCAAAAAAGAATGAATAATTATATACTGTGAATTTTGGAATGATATGGCTGACATGATTGACTCAATTTTAATGAAAATCACACAAAAAATGTATATATGGGACTACACGAACATACAGCATGAAAGTCCCATCCAAACTTTTCAGCTATTTCTTATTTTGAATATGAGGGCATATGACGAGCAATCCTGTTTAGGGGACATTTCTACTGTGATATTCTTCCAAATTGAACAACAACAAATAATGAAAAATTGAGAATGCTCACAAACTATTTTGTCATCTTTGCCAGAACTCAACCTTCTCTGTAACAGGGGGATGGAGCATGTTTCAAATTCTATCCCAGATGATCTAAAGCATTGTGATAATGATTTGATCAATGTCTGATATGCATGCAAGTAAAATGAGTAAAATGGAATGAGAGCATTTGATAGAAGCTTAAAGTTGCACCAGATTTTTGGGGTTAATGTACTTTTAATTAGTAATCCACAAACTAATTTGAGGGGATGGATTTTGAGGGATTTTTTGTTTGTTTGTTTGTTTGTTTGTTTTTTTTTTTGGGGGGGGGGGTGACTTAAATATACACAATTATTTAGTTGAGAGTTGGGGGGGCACTCTGTTTAGCCTGGTAGCAAGGCTACCCCATCCTCTCTTCTCAATAACATCTAGCTCTGAAGATTTTTTTTTGGATAGCATTTACTGTTTTTTTTTAAAATCCCTATATTAAATGAGATAGGGGGATGGGTTGCATTTAGCCTGTTAGCAAGGTTCTCTACCCCCCCCCCCCTGGGGGCAGGAAGAATAGGGGTTGACCCTGGTATATGCTAGACTTGACTAATTTTGTTTTGTTGAGGATGGGGGGGGGGGGGGGCTCCATTTAGCCTTTATCCTTTGAGCATGGCTACCCCACTCACTTCTTCACCTCATCATGACCAAGCTCAAAACAAAAGTACAACTTTGGCAACTCCACCAAGAAGGCTCACAAACTTGCACTTTCCCAACCTTTCCCGCAACATGCCTTATTTATCCTGAACCCCTTCTCCTTCCTCACATCACACATGAAAAGGAAGAACGGCAATCATACGAAAGAAACCCAAACCTCCTTTTAACCTCCTGGATTCTAAACACAGACATTTCTTGTAGACTCTCCGCGGGATCTATTCGGGGTCGGGGGCGCTTGCGGGACGCGAAGAGGAGACGGCAGGTGTAATGTGGGGGTCCCCTATGGCAGCACCTCGGCTCGCTAGGATTAAGAGACCAGACGAATAGCCAAAGGGAGCACCTCCCTGCACCCCTCGCAAACCACAGAGGGACGCGACCATGACTCATCGCGGACGATCTTGACTATCTCCTTCAAGGAAAATTTCTTCCCCCAGACCTTGAAACTTACGTTGGCATGTTAACCCTCTAAATGCCCCACGTTGCTCTGTCACCTGTACCCCTAACATGTTACAGCGGTGGAAGGGTTAATGAAAGGGATCGATATTGACTTTTCGCGATATTTTAGACAACGGTAGTGTCGCCAGCAGGTGTGATCTACAGGTGTGAAGGAAACCAATGAAATTGGAAACACATTTCTGTTTGGGTGTTGTTTTCTTCGCACATTCTGCCGATTCTTTGAATGTTGATGGATGTGCATGGCCCCCGGACGTATGTCTACCTGTTTTATCGAAAAAGAGAATGAAGAAATAGGTGTTCAGTTTAAAGGGAATAACTAGAAGGGGTCAATTACAGAAATTTGAAATGAATCATAAGTATATCAATTTCAGATATTAAGTATCTGGGGAAGAGACGTCTGCATAGTACTACTTTTAGTTAGCACATTGTGAAGAAGTATGCAACAGTGAAAAACAAATAATAGTGAAAAACAGATACATGGGAGCGGAGAGCAATTTAGCTTTTGAAAGCTCAAAAAAGATAAAACGGCAACAAAAAGTATATGAAAATTATATAAAAAATCACTGCAACAATTGTTTACTTTTGCAAAGGTAAATCCAAAAGAGCTCCTTCGAACCAAGAGTGCTGTTTTTTTCTCTTTTTTCCCTCTTTTTTTATATTATTACATTAGAAGACGATGCAGGACAACATCTATGTTATAGATTTAACCCTTTGCCTATGGGAGCCTCATGGTCCCTATGTTCAGCCTTTAAGGACTTTCACAATGCAGTAGACAACTGGTTAATTGAATTGTACTTATTTAGGGAGCCATGATCAGTCAGTCCTATTCACAGACATCGAAACATACATATTTTCTGATATATTTGCCCCCTTCTCGCTATTTTCTTAAAATGGAAATAAAACTTGTACTAACAGAATTGCAGGAATGCTGTTTTGTCTTTGTTGGAATGAGTTTTTCAAAGAATTCTTTTTCCTTTTCTTTTGCTACAGCAATTATGGCAACCCGGGCTCACACAAGCAGGACCATCTCATGAGTAAGTATATATGGGACTGAAGAAATCTAAGGAGAAATAATAAAGGATATAACTATAATCAGTGAACCTAAAGACTTTCCAAAGAGTAGCCAAAGATATTGTGCAATGTCAAACAATTGCTTGTCACAATATGATTTAGAATCCTTTCAAACATTGTTTTTTCCTTGAATGTTTTGATTTGTACATGTCTCTCTCTTAATTTGTTTTTCTGTGCATGATTTGATGTCTACCTGTCCTCTCTCCCCTTTCACTATCCCTTCCTCTGATCGTTTGTCCCATTGTCCCATCTCTCTCTCTCTTTCTTTCTTTCTTCCTTTGTTTTTTAATATTTTTATATATCTCTCTCTAAAAAAAAATTATGTGCATGATTTGATGTCTACCTGTCTTCTCCCTCTCTCTTCTTTCTCTCTCTCTTTCTCTCCCCTTCCACTCCCCTCTCTCGCTCTACCTTCTGCTCTCCCTTTCTCTGACCGTTTCTCCTATTCTCCCATCTCTCTCTCTCTTTCTTGATTTCATTCTTTCTTACTTTCATTCTTTCTTTCATTCTTTCTTTTTTCATTCTTCTTTATTTCTCTTTCTATCTTTTTCTCATTCTTTATTTCTCTTTTATTTTTTTATTCTTTCTTTATTTCTCTTTCTTTCTTTCTTTCTTTTTTTCTTTCATTCTTTCATTCTTTCTTTCTTCCATTCTTTCTTTATTTCTCTTTCACCCTTTCTTCCTTTCTTTCTTTGTTATCTTTCATATTTTCATGTTATCTCACACTTTTCATTTCATCCACTGAGAGCCAGAATGGAGTCTACTCCTATCCTTCTCCGATAGGACTAGTGCCCTTCTAGTTCTCAACAGTATATTATTTATAAACCAATCTTCACCGATACAGCCCTTCCATTCTCTACCCCAGCATCAAACCATTCACATCAGCCCAGCCTTACCCTCCGACGGCGACGACGGTCAGCGAGTACGCGTCGGCCACACCCGCGTGGGAAGGAAGGTCAATCGGCATGAGGAAGCTACGGCTCGTCGAGTTCCAAGCCTTCATCGAGAGGACGAGAGAACCAGACAGCGTAAGTCCTCTTTTCAATTCATCTTGGAATCTTTAATCAATTTTCAAATCACCTGTGACTGATTGCATAGTCGCCATCCATTCCTATTTTGGAGGAAGGATTCCTATTTCGAACCTCAAGAATAATGTGTCGTGAAACATACGGCGGTGTCGCACAGAGGCCAAAAATCTGGATTTTAGTTATCAAGATTGTAGTTATCCTCTTAATTGCTGTCTGTCATCAATTATCCCATTAAAAATCTTTTAACGAAGCAAGAAAATTCTCCCTTTCAAGGGATTTTTTTAAGGGATTTTTCTGTGTGACACGGCCTTATAGGCACATGTTGTTCTCTTTCTGGAAACTTGTACTTAAAAGCATACAAAATACACTTTTCAAATTTTGCTGAGTGATAATCCTAATTTTTGTTGTTGGAAGGTTGGCAGATATGCCGATGTGATTACTGGATTTAAACCTGAATCCTTGGCGTGCTAGAAACTGTCATGAATTTTGTGGTTGGTTGAAATTCGTTAAAGTTTCATGCTGCCATAACATGAAATCACAATATTGAAACATTGTGAATTGTAAGGGTTTCTAACTGCAGAAGGTTAAAGTTCAACAATTTTTGAAATTCTTTTCTGGTTTGCTAACTGTCATATAGCAATGAATTCAGTGAATTTGACTCTAAAGCAAAAATTGATTTGCCATGTCCGGAATGAATTTGAATTACTGGTCAATCAGTGATTAATAATCTATTTGCCACCCATGAGAAGAGAAAAAGTGGTCACTGTAGACAGGTTACTTACTGACAAGCATTTATTGCTTTCTTAGCTGTCAGGTAAAATAACCACCACCACTATCTAGGTGGCCTTTCCAGACAGGTGGCCTTAACAGACAGATGGCCTTTAGAGACAGGTGGCCTTTACAGACAGGTGGCCTTTACAGACAGGTGGCCTTTACAGACAGGTGGCCTTTATAGAGAGGTGGCCGTTACAGACAGGTGGCCTTTACAGACAGGTGGCCTTTACAGACAGGTGGCCTTAACAGACAGGTGGCCTTTATAGAGAGGTGGCCTTTACAGACAGGTGGCCTTTACAGACAGGTGGCCTTTACAGACAGGTGGCCTTTACAGACAGGTGGCCTTTACAGACAGGTGGCCTTTACAGACAGGTGGCCTTTATAGAGAGGTGGCCACTAAGACAGTTTTGACTGTATTATTGTCCTGAGATCTCTGAATATGTGAATGTCTGATTTTGGTTACGACCGAAACTGAACCTGAATCTCTCTCTCTTCTCTTCTCTCTTCACCACAGTATAACAAGCATTTCTTTGTTCATCTCGGTCCTAACGTCAGCTTCTACGACCCCCTCCTAGAGGTAAGTGCCTTTTGCATCTCATATTGTGAAGCATCCTGCTAAAAGGACTTTTAAGTGTACCAATCGCCTGAAAAAATAATAATTTGTGTACCACTAGAAAGTATAAGATATACCTCAAAAATCTTAACCTGACTTTCTATGAGTTCAGCATTTACTTTATGATTCCCATTTAGGTGTAAGTGCCTTATGCATCTCATATTTTACAGCTCCCTGCTAAATGGACTTGGACTTTAAGTGTACAAATCACCTGGAAAAAAAAATTGTTTGTATGTATTTGATATATTTAGGCTTGGTATTAAGTCGTTATGGCGTTTGGTTGAAGTGTCCATGTAGAGTCAGTGCCTGCAGACCAAGAAAAGATTGTATTTTTTCCTTTTCTTAATTTCAATCCTATATTTGTTTCATTATCAATTCTTTTGCTACAGGCAGTCGATGTGAGGCAAATATACGACAAGTTTCCTGAGAAGAAAGGCGGGTTAAAAGACCTCTATGAGAAAGGGCCTGCTGAAGCTTTCTTCCTCGTCAAATTCTGGGTGAGTATGCCCCTCCACTTTCACCTACCCCCCCTTCTGCCCCCCTCCCCTTCCGCCCCCTCTTCTGCCCCCCCCTTCCCTTCCGCCCCCTCACCTCCTCTTCCCCCTTCCCCTCCCCTTCCACATCCCCCTTCCCCTCCCCCTCCACATCAAACTCCCCCTCCCCATTCCCCTGCCCTTCCACCCCTGCCCTTCCACCTGCCCTTCCGCCTCCCCTCCCCTTCCACCTTCCTCTCCCCTTCCACCTTCCCCTCCCCTCCCCTCCCCTCCCCCCTCAACTTCTCCCCCCTCAACTTCTCCCCCTTCTACCTTCCCCTACCCTCCCCTCCTCCTCCCCCTTCCCCTCCCCTTCCCCTCCCCTTCCCCTCCCCTTCCCCTCCCCTTCCCCCTCCCTTCCCTTCCACCTCTCACTCCCCTTCAACCTCCCCTTTAAACTCCCCTCCCCTTCAACCTTCCCTTCAATCTCCCCCTCCCCTTCCCCTTCCCCCTCCCCTTCCCCCTCCCCTTCCACCTCCCCTTCAACCTTCCCCTACCCCTCCCCTTCCACCTCCCCTTCCACCTCCCCTCCCCTTCTATCTTCCCCTCCCCCTCCACCTCCCCCACCCTTTCCACCTCCACCTCCCCCTCCCCCTCAACTCCCCCTCCCCAGACAATGCATTGTATAATTATCCTATTTGTACAAATCACTCCAACTAATGTAATAGACGTCCTTGTTTTGCTATGAGATTAATCAACTCTTCCTTTTTAATATATATTTTGACAGGCGGACCTCAACACGAATATGTCAGACGAAACAGATGTCTTCTATGGAGTCACAAGCCAGTAAGTGATCATTAGGGGAACAATAGACCCATTTTCGTAATTTTATACAATTTAATGCTTAAATCATTGTTAAGTACCACGTTAGAATTTATTTCATTATTTCGCCTGGTAAGTATAATTGTATTTCAGTATTCAGAATGTGAATGTGAGAGTTTTTTAAAACTAAGTTTCTGATTAATCAATCTGGATCAATTGCAAAGCTCTGTAGGACAGGGTTTGATTTTGGAATTTAAAAATACTATTCAAGGCTCTTGGCCCTGTTTCATAAAACTTGTTATCAATAACAAATTATAAATTTCTACGACAAATCTGCCCTCAGCCAATCAGATGCCACGATTTCAGTAGCTTATAACAGTTATTCTAACTTGTGATTGATAATAGTTCTGTGAAACAGGGCCCTGATCTTTTCTTAACTGTTAGTTGACAGGTAAATAATTGTCCATGAACTCCATCAATGCTCTCTACTTTTTCTCACAAATTCATTTTTCTTCTCTCTGCAGTTACGAAAGTGAAGAGAAAATGACAATCACGTGTTCAACCAAAGTCTGTTCGTTTGGCAAACAAGTTGTAGAAAAAGTAGAGGTAAGTCAAAGTCGACTGAACAATGTATGTATGCTTCAAATTTTGTATTCGGAAACACAGATGGCATATTTTGACACGTTTGAATGCCCATCGCAGTGTTTGAACTAGAAATTTGTTCTTCTTTTTCTTTGGGGTGGGGGACTGAAATCATGTCTTGAAATCTTTAACAACCTGAAAAAAATAAAAGTTGCCAAATTACAAACAGTTGACACACTTTATAGCAAATGGGGGGGGGGGGGGGGGGGGGGGTGTGGTTTGGGGTGGGGCAGGGCTCAATAATTTCTACCAATTTTCATATTTTGGCCCTAGTAAACATATATTCCAGAGGCATAAGCAAAAGGAGACAATGATTGTCTTTGATTAATAAAATCATTTAATTAATGCTTTTAAGTCTTGAATTTTCAATGCGTTGAAAAGTGTTTTAAAATTCACTCTTTCACCATGTAAATTGGCAGTTTTTCATATTTAATTTCTGTCTACGTATGATTTTTTTGGATACGATACTTTTATTAGAAAAGCTTTCAAATATAATTAAATCTCTAGTGTTGTCAATTTTAAGAATGAAAGCTCATCGATCACCTTTAAACAAAATGAATTCAGTTCAATTCAATTCCATTCCATTTAGTTTAATTCAATTCCATTCAGTTCAGCTCAGCTCAATTTTATACAATTCAATTCAATCTATATATAAAATAATTTTTACAATACATTGACTACAAAATATTTAATTCCATATAAATAAATACATTAGAAATGACATTGCACCTCGGAATAGTTTTACTAGATAGATGGTGTAATATTAGTACATTATATTATTATTATTATAAACATAATGTATATATAAATGGTGATAGAGGTAAGTTGGGCACAACTGTTTAAAAATTAAATTCAAGATAGCTTCCCTGATCAAATTTAAAAATCCATGTTGTAGATGGGTAACATGACTGTTTTTTTTTGGTTGGGTGGATGGGGTTGGGTTGACGGTATACCTGCTCACGTTCCATCATCTCGAGATCCCCCTCTTTGACTTTTTCAGACGGAGTACGGGAGGTACGAGAACGGTCACTTCATCTACGAGATCTCGCGGTCGCCCATGTGTGAATACATGATCAACTTCATCCACAAACTCAAGCATCTCCCAGAGAAATACATGATGAACAGTGTTCTAGAGAACTTCACAATTCTACAGGTGAGGTGTTGTTTCTACTGCACATAGGCAACAGGCCCTGTTTCATTTAAAGCCCCACTGTACTACTTATAGCTACTTGCGCCCTCTATTTATCAAACAATGCCTAAGCGGTAACCGTTGATCCCCATGATGCCCCTTTTCTTATGTTGATTGAGAGCTGATTTGATGAGATAACCACCTGTCAGTGACCTTGCAGGGAGGTCTAATCCCCCTGGCCAAACTAGTGCAGATGGGCTTTAAAGTCACTTAGAAGTAGGCTCTCATGGGGAATTTGACACCATTCGCGTACTTACCTAATAACAGGTGTTTTCAATTACCAGGATTAGACTTTAGTGTTATGACCAACAGGCCTTATTTTAATGCTCTGTTAACAACCCATATAGTAAAATCATTATCTCACATCAACCGAAGACTAGAGACTAGGGAGTATTTCTTGATTGGCCTATTGGTTTGCTTGTGTGCAGACTTGTACGACCATTAATGGTATTTCCACCAAGTCTGGTGTCAGAGAATTTTGACCTTCTGTACTGAGGACCCTCTCCTTTTAACTGTCAATAACTTGACATTAATCTGCATTTGCCACTCTTCACCCAGGTGTAAAAATGGGGTCCGGTAGGAAGGCACCGAAGTTGGTAGCGTAGCTTGAGCTGGGGTAATATTTGAACACCTTGCCAAATTTCTGTAACAAATTTGTTAACAGCCAATTAACTGCAAGGATTTCATTGGGCACAAGGTTATTTCAATTTTTCAAGTATACCTGTGTTATCCTTGTCTTACATCTGCAACGATAATGGATATTCTATTTTATTTTATTCCATTCCGTTCCAGGTCGTCACGAACAGAGACACGCACGAGACGTTACTATGCATCGCCTTTGTCTTTGAAGTGTGTACAAGTGAACATGGGCCGCAACATCACATTTACAGACTTGTCAAAGACTAGCACACTTTTATTGGATAAAGACTCGGGAGAAGACTAGCTTTATACTTTTGTTTCCCACCTGTGCAAGAACTGCCAATTCTTGAATTTTTCTCTTCTCGTTTTTATCGTCTTTTCAACGTTTTTTATCGCTGCTGGGGAGGAGTGTGATCTCAATGATAGTGTATCATTTCTTTCTTGTGAAGTTTTGTGTGGGATAACTGTGATGAATGGAGCTCGAGGCATACTGGAGAGTGGATGATCGCTTGGAAAGAAACCTCATTGAAAGTGTCAAAGGGGTGCGTCCTTGGCACTGTTTCTTCAATGCAGCAGTGTTCAAACCCGGAGAATGGTGGATGAGTAGGAATGATACGTCAAGCAAAACATTCTAAGAGTCCACACTACAGCTCGACTTCTGTGCTCCAATACTCCAAGGTGCTGTGTTCTGACATCTCTAACTCTACATGCTTCGTTTCCGTGCTACACGCAAAGTGACAATGTGAAGCATCAAGTTCTTCACAGACACAACTTCACGCTCTTTGATTGAGTTGTCGAGACATCCCTGTGCCCCGTTAGTGCCCTTCTGCGTTGCAACATACTGTGGAGCTATTATCCAAATAGCCATCGAGGCCTTTTCGCGACCTATTCTGCTTCAGTGAGAACAGGGCAGCGTTCCACCAAGCATCATAAGTTCACTGTCAACCATTGAAACACCTGTATTAAATTTAACTCGCGTTTCGATAGGATCGTGAAACAATGCCGTGGAGCCTACGAGACGCTTCTCTTGAACTCTTCAAAAAGATGTGGTCTCCTTCATCGTTCAACATTCTAGATATTTAATGGGGGTCATTTCTGAGGCAAAGGATTGTTAAACAATGCAAGGGCATTTTTTTCGTACATGGAGCCTTATCGTATAAAAAAACTAAGCAATGTATTCTTTGAAACTGTTTACCTGTGTGTACTTTCAGACAACATCACAACCTAACCCATTGAGAGGAGCAGTACCCTGTTTCATCAAACTTATTATTGATAACAAATGCTGAGATTCTACGACAAATTTGCTCTCGGCCAATCAAATGCATTGATTTCAGTAGCTTGTAACAGTTAATGCTACTTGTTATTTGATGACGAGTTTTGTGAAACGGGGCTGTGATGTGGGTATAACACACATTTTCATCATACCCCCAGCCCTAATTAAGAACGGCTTTGTATTCAGAGTTAACAGTCACAAACGCACTTTACAAGGGTTCAATCAGAGGTAATAATTTCTTTGATTATTGATAGCAACATGGATGGTCACAAAATGGCGTTTTGTCATGTAGGGTCAGAGAAATCCATGGTTATTATTACAAAATCACATGATTTAAGCGTACAGCTAGTATTCATTATTCCGCGCCATTTCAGGTTGTATCTGTGTAAGAAATAAAATCTGAAAGTGCAGTTTTTATTCTCATTTAGACTTCATGGGGAAGTGAATTATATGAGGAGAGTGAATGACTATTGTCCGCAGAACCGTATTTATTTATGAAACTATTATCAACACTTAAGAAACTTCATTGAAAACGTCACTCTAGGAAAGAAACGTCATTGAAAATGTCAAAGAAGTCTGTTCTAATTTTCCTTATTGAAATGCATTAATACAACGTCTTCAATAACTCTTTCTCTCTTTTCGTTCTCCATCAATGATTATAAAAGAAATTTTACCAAAAATATCCTCATTTTATTTTCTTTAGCCCTCAAGCTAAGTGCCTTTTATTGATCTACTGTTGACAGTATTATCCCGAATGAGGCATTGTCTTTTTTTTATAGGAAAAAAAAAATGATTTTGATTCATCTTGATAGGTTTTCTTTTATTTGTCCCCCCTTTTTATATGCCTTTTGAATGCAGTTTTTACAGCACATACACACAAGTTTGCTGCATTGTGTGTTCATTACTCACTCATTGATCTGGTTCATTTATTTTATATATCATTATTGAGATAATTCTAGATCAATATCGAGATATTTCTAGATCAATATCGAGATATTTCTAGATCAATATCGAGATATTTCTAGATATACACTGTATAGGAACAAGTCACTCGGCGCAAATGACATATCACGTAGAAATATTCTATGCCGCTAAAGTAAAAGTACCCCTAAACTACAACTTGGTTTTATGTTAAAAAGAATGCTGAGCCCCTAATTAAAAATATCTTGGGAATCAATATAGATTCTCTTATACCTCATTGATTACAAATACAAATAATTTAAATTCAATCTGATTAAGTCTTATTAATTTATCACAAAAAATCATGCCTTACATGAGAAATTCGGTTCAGTATCGATCACTGCAAAAATCAGACTTATTTTCGTATCATAATGTTGACTAATAACTTTCTTAATTAAATTATAAAATTATTGATATGATTGATATGATGCAATGTAAATGTTAATATATTTCTATGAGAAATTAAATCAATTTATCCTTTAATATCTTAGTGTGGTTTCTAGATGTGCCTTGATATTAAACATAATGGTTTATGGTTACTAGGGCCAAAATATGAAAATGCGAAAATTTACAAGGAATCACTGTTGGTCAGAAAGACGTGATACACAAATCTGTTGAAAAGCCATTTCTACCAAATATAGCCAGCATATAGGAACTGCAGGTTATGAATTGTTGTTGTTGGAATTATGACCTTTTTGAGTTCAAAGGTCGATGTGGATTCTTAATGAGTTTTCAAGGGCCAGTCAGTTCTCCCAAGTATTTTTCTATCACCAAAAATTATTCTCTTAAAGAAACTATCTCTCTCCCGATCCCCGACACTTATCTAGGGTTTTAAAAGAAACTTAAATTACTGACCAATTCTCCCAAGCAACATGTTCATTTTCTACTACCAAAATAATTTTCTCTCTCTCATTTTTTATACACCATAACTATGCCTGTTGATGTTTTATATTGTTAAACTTTTACATCACAGAAATGCCAAAGCTAACTTTTATAGTTGTACTTAAGCCAAATAAGAATGCGATGGTGTTCTGACTTTTTTTTTGGTTGCTCTTCGGCCTTTGTAATAAGGAGCTTTTATTGACGGGTTCGTACAAGGGAAAGTAGTGTCTTTGCAGAAACATTTTTGATACAAAAAACTGGTGAAAAAGGTATAGAGTTGTGAATACAGAGGACTATTTCTACGTTTTTCTCACATTTTTACTATTTTGTCCTGTTTGCTCTTTATGCGTTTTTCTTACAAAGAGGTGATGTTGTAAAGTTTGTTTATGTTTTTGTACAAAGAATACTATTCCATATTTACTATTTATTGTTGTTTGTGTGTACGGTATCTTCAAATGAAACAAAAAATGCTGTCTTACTCTTTAGTCATTTCTTCTTTTTGGACCTGTGACGTAAAAAAAAGATATGTCATATAGACTGATGATATAGATGATTGAAAGCATGTCCCAAATAAAAGTCATAATAAGAATCAGATTATATTTTACAGAGGCATAAATCATTGTATCCATCTTTAAAGCCCAACTGCACTACTTTTAGCTACTTGCGCCCTCTATTTAGCAAACAATGCCTTATCGGTGCCTGTTGGTCCCCCATGATCCTCTTTTTCTTATGGTAATCGATGAGATTACCACCTGTCAGTGACCTTGCAGGGAGGTCTAATCCCCCCTGGCCAAACTAGTGCAGACGGGCTTTAAGACATTGGTGTGACAAATTTTCTGATTGCTGCTATTATTTTGTGGGTCTATCTATAATAAAGATATTTTGATGTTCTGAATCTGGGATTGAAGTTTCTGAGGAAGTAGAACTTGTAAATTATATCTGCGAACTTCAAAAGATATTAATATTGACACAAGTTTCAACAAGAAGTGAACAAAAGTTATCCTCTTTACATCCTTTTGAGGGAGAAATCGTCAAAATATAGCCCTGGGTTTTGATTTTCAGAGCCGAAATTTGAAGAAATATCTATAAGTACTTGCCCTCACCCGAATACAAGCTTTTCTAGTTCTTACTTTGACGATTTGTCAAGTAAGTTTGGGAATATTCTGACATTTCCTTGTGCTAATCAAAGTTGGTTTTAATTTGTATGTTTTGGTGAAGCACAAACGTAACTCAAATAAGCATCTCCTGTCTCTTTGGCACAACTTTAAAAAAAACTCAAAATGCAGTTTAAGTTTTTATTTCGCCACATCCATGCATGTTGTCTCTCAAAGAGGCATTTTCAAACTGTCTCTTTCATGACATAGAGGGCAGCATAGTGGACAACCCTTGTTGGCTGAGATGCATGCAGGGGCACGTTTAGTTCCACATTTTAGTTTGGTAATTATTCACAGTGAAACAATTTTGTCGTGTGTATGTATACTGCCATCTGTGTCGTTCTGTGTTAAGGTGAAATTTCTTGCTTCTCAGTACACCGACTCGTAACTTTCCTTAAAGTACTTTTTTTTCGTAAATGTTATCTCGGATCCGTTAAAGGGAGCCCTCATCGACATGACGATGATCGCTCGTCTTATAATCACCAAGTGAACTCGAGAAAATACAGTGTGAACATGTTGATGACATCATCATTGATGCATTGTGGGAGTATATGTAGGAAACGGACGGTGACCTTTCTGTGCGGCCTCTCTTTAAACCTGGAAACGAGCGTAGAACCTCTGAATGTACTTACGTATATGTACTGACGCGAGATCCTTCATTCTCTTTTTAAAATCCTGTCGATACTGTAATCACGAGGAGTTCGATTTTAAAAGAATGTACATTTTTTTTTCATTTATCATTTCAAACCGCATCGGTGCTAAATGCTTCATTTGTTTTCTTAGAAAAAAAAAATAAGAAAAAACCTTGTACAGAATGTAAGATATTTTACCAGAGAAACTTTTTACAAAGCTTTTGTAAAGCGAGACTTTATATAATTTTACTTGGGACTTGTGTAAGAACATGGCATATTTTCTGAAATTTGTGGGTTGTTTTTTTCTATACGTGTTATAGAGCCACTAGTTTATATGTGTTGTGTAGTTTGCATGCAATGACAGTGTTTTAGTATTGTCGTCACAGAACCATTTCATGCTTTTATTTGATTTCCTGATTGTTTCATCTTCTACTTACTGCCTGTGAGCTTGCAAGTACGTTTCGTCTAATAAGTTCAGTTAAGTTTTTAAGGGATGATTTTTTTTTCTTTTTCGGGTGGATGTGTTTGTATATGGCATGCACTGCAACATGGGACCAAACACTGTATCGTAGTCATTAAGTCAAGCAAGTTTTCCTTAATTTAGGCAACCTCAGTTGTTGGGTTCACATTAAAGTTTTCATGTTCAAGTCATGGTTTGAAATGAAAAAAAAAGTATATTCAAAGGTAACAGGAAGTCAACCTGTCTTAGTGGCCACCTCTTAATAATGGCCACCTATATCGTCTTCACTATGAAAAAATGAGTGTTGTAAAACCTGTCTAGAAAAACCACCAGTCTAGTCTAGAGTTGCCACTTTGTTCTGTTTTCCATGGGTGGTCATACATAGAAGATCGACTGGTTTAACTATGAAATAAAGTATTCAACCAAAGATCTTTAAAGAAAAAAAAAATTCAAAAGAAATGTGAAGAAAAACAAAAATAAAAAAGGGTGACTTTGTGGTTCTTTTTGAAGTGT